ACAGGTGTGTGCACCCCCTGGGGGAATGCGCAGCCCGAGGAGGCACGTCCCTAGCGTCCATGCATCTGCCTTCCTCCGTGTGTGTCACACCCTCTAGAAGACCAGCTGCAGGCGAGTAAGAGTTCTGCCTAAGTCAATGCTTGGAGAACAAACGTCATGAGTATTATTCACACTCTGGGGAAGTAATAATTGACTGTTTATAAGATACACACTGTACTATACTATAAAATGTTATAAAAATAATTACATGGAATAAATCATATAAATACTTAAAGGCTTTATTATACACTTACATCCAACTGAAACCCACGTGAAGTTACACTGAACACATTCTTTATGTACTTGGAAATATAAAATACCAACTTAAAGTACTTCTCAGATTAAACCAATTTTTTTTAGCTTTCTCAACACTATAATAAAATGGAAAAGAAACAGTACATAAAAACAAAACCACTAGGAATTTTTTAAAACTTAATGTACCTAGCACATTTAATATTCCCAAGACCACTCTGCTAGGGAGAATCAAACGCACTGCACTCGAAGACGTGCGGCCCGGGCCATGTGAGAACTTGTGGACCCAAAAGATGCACGTCAGGGACAGAGGGGCAGCTGGAGCACAGCCCTGCAAGCCCTCCAGGCCCCGCCCCACCATCCCCCAAGGCCAAGGCCAAGAGCAGGACGGCTGGAGGACAGGACACGGATACCACTGTCAGTCACAGCCTGCCTGAAGGTCACGGTGACTCACACTAGACCAGGAGGGTCTTCGGGCAGCAGGACGGCGAAGTTAGGAAGGGGGGTGGTCCTCCCCTCGGATGCTTCGATACTTAGCCATGTCTTCAGGAAATACTTTAGAAAGTTCTTGAATCAACAGACTTTTAAATTTCTGAGAAGAAAAACATACAACATCAAAATACCTTTGTGACCCATGCCCCAAGGGAAAGACACTCCCACACCCCCCCAAAGCCTCAAACTGGGCGGAGAGCGTGTGCTCTGTCCGTGCAACCAGCCGTTCCCACACGGCCGGCTCATCCCCACAGAGGCACTCAGGACACCGGCTGCCGACAAAGGCCACCAAGCCGGACGTGCACCAGAGCTACACCGTGAACTACGTGAAGGGAATGCTCAGCGCAGCAGTAAGAAATCCTCCAGAGAAAGCCCCTCTCCTAAGGCGCCAGCCACGCAGCTGGAAATGACTTCTGCAGACAACACATGTAACGGGAATCTTCAAGTATTATTTAATTAAGCAATTATTAACTCAAACGACATCAAATTCACTGTGTGCAAACAGCCTCATCAAAGCTTTCGGGAGCACCCGGAAGCCTGTCTACTCCAAATGCAGCGGCTGCGTGGCCCCACCTATCCGCGGACCGTGTGTCTGAATCCCATCTTAAGAGCAGCTACGTTTCTGCCAGCGTCCAGAGCCTCGTCTAAGTCTTACTGAAAAGCAGCACTACGGACAGGAACGAAGACACAGCACGAGACATGACATCCTCCAGGGACACGGCACCGCCACGGACAGCTGTGCAAGCCGCGGCTTTCGGGAATTTAAATACGCGGTCCGCTGAGACAACAAAGGCCACAGAACTGCGCCGCGAGACCTGCACAGGTCCCCGGGGACGCAGACTGCCAGCGGGCGCAACGGATGCCCCCGAAGGCAACGGTCCCCGTGCATCCCTGCCAGCAGGCACCCCCGCGCCACAGCAGGCAGCATGGGGAGCCCATACCCAGGGCCCACGGCCCGTGCGGAGCGGGACGTCTGCTCACTCACACAACAGTACAGAGCCTGCTACGGATCAGGCGACATCCCGTCCCCAGGGCGAGGCTGAGCTCAGCAGCAACTCGGTCCCTAAGTGACCAATCAGGAAGCTGCGGGTGCCCCACGGACAACCACGGCAGCACCGCAACCAGAGGGCCGGCTCCCAGGCATCAGTACAGATCAACACAGATCACCGGGGTGAGGTACTTAAGCCCTGTGACCCCAGGGCAGCCGTGACACCGTGACCAACACATCACTGTCACCCTGACAGCCTCTCCGCTCATTCCCGGCACCGGGCCAGGAGCCCGAGCCCAGAGGCCAGCACACAGCCATCCCTGCACACTGTGGACAGTGGCAAGGAGCTCTGTGGGCACGGGGCACCCGCGGGAGCACCACACTCACGCCCCGATGTCCTGGAGCCCGCACGACCGTGGCAGAGCTGAAACAGAGGAAAGAGGAGGTGGCATCTTCATCAGGATTTGGGAAAGGCTGGTCTGCAAGGCCTCTCTTGAGAGGCGACACTCTCTGCGGCCCTCTCTGAGAGCCCGAGCCCGAAGGACAGTGGTGTGCAGAGAAGGCACCGGAGCTCCAGAGGGAGGCAGCCGCATGAGAAGGAACGGAAGCACCGGGGTCTGGAGGATCCCCAGCAACAGCCACGAGGCCCGGGAGGCAAGAGGGCGTGCAGTCCAGGTGTGGGGCCACTACAGGGATGGCACCAGCCAATCAAAGGAAAAACCACACACATACCCCAATCTGACCCAGAGCACAGTCAATTCAAGTTACGAAAACAAAACCAAAACAAAACCCTAAATATTTCATATTTATGATGCATGGAATTTTCTAGTAGTCATGAAAGCAAAGCAACACGGAGAGAACGTCCTCTGTGCACAACTGCAGGACGGGGAACAGGATCCAAAGGGGCCTGGACGCAGGCGCAGGAGAGCTTTAGACAACCAGAAGGGAATGCTCTAAAAGCTGGAACCAGACTCCAGGAAATGGCTTAGCAGAGGAAGTGAAAAGCATCGCAGTGCAAGCATGAGAGAGGAAAGGCTCACAGACGCGAACAGTTAGCCAGCGCCAACCAGCATCATGGAAATTAGCTTGGACTTCGCTCCAAGTGCGGCTACACTCCGCTCCCATTTGTCCCCACAAGGCTCCCTGATAGCTGCCCTCATCCGCGGTCCATTACATGCAGAAATCTCAACCGTGTAACCGTGTGAGACAGTTTACATTTTACCAGGTACGGAGAAGAACGACAAGGTCTATTAGTTAAATCTGCTCTGACAGTATTCCTGTTCTGACCTTGTCTTCTGCTTCTAAGAGCCTCACCTTCATTGTGTCGATCTTGCCTTTGACTTGTTCATTTTTGGCCAGAGCCCTCTCCAGGCACTCTTTGGTGTAGAGTTGGGGGTTTCGTCCTTGATCTATGTATCTGGAAACATGAAACACCTCAATTAACACTCTCATGGCCAGTAACCTATTCTCAGTTTTCTGATGGGAAAATAGGAGTTAGCTCTGAGTAAGTGCACACGGCCTTCTTTAGAGAAAACTGTGTCCAGAAACCAAGTGAATTAGGATTCTTTCATTTATGTAAGTACAGATGATTTGATCTCATATTGCTTCTAATAATGTGAATAACTCAGGAAATCAAGGAATGTCACTTATAAACCAAGCTTCATGGCTCTGTAACTCGACAGTTTTAATGTTTGTGATCTTCCAAAGGTTTCGGAGCCAGGAGCCCTGATCTTCACAATAACCTGTAAGGTCAGGCAGCTCTTGACGTGAGAACTCACGTGGGCCGGGGTTTCCAGCCTGAGCAACAGCAAGGAGCCCGCCAAGACACAGCCTCGGCTCCAGGGGCACCCCACAGTTCCTGGGGGAGCCCTTCGTAGAGGAGCCTTGGGGCTGCAGGAGGGGGTGGGGAGCTGCAGGTAGGACAGCCCCAGCCCTGCCCGCCCCAGGATTATTTACAAACCGGGCCCTGGTAATACTACTTTCCTAAATACATCCCAGTCACATGAATTTAACAGAGATTCTCTCCACTTATTTCTAAACTCTAAAAACTGTTCTTGAAATTTTTGACACTTATCCCCAAAAGTGTCATAACCCCAGAGACTCCATCAAGCATACTGCCTAGACGCACATCCACGTTCACCACCAGTGGGCCGCCCACTTGCTTCTGTACCTTACAGACCTGCATACCAATTATTCATTAGAAGAAATCACCTTCATGCTCCAGCAGAAAAAAAACCTGTCACTTCAGATCAAAAAAACGTTACTGTTAATGGCATAAAAACTGGCCTTTAATTATGACTATAACCAAAAAAATCAATAAATCACATATTCCAGAAATTCCATTTTATTGCAATGTTTTTGAAATGACGGAATGACAGAAGCCAAATTATGTTTTTCTGAACAAAATACATGCATTTCTGGAAAACAGCAGACAGGCTCACAGGCTCAAGTGTCCTTAACAAATAACCATCTCAACAGCAACGGCCTCCGGACGGGGCTCTGTGTCGAAGGCCCCAGCGCTGAGCGCCACTCTGCCGACACGTCAACCCGGAGCTCTGCACAGAAAGCCAAGGTTTCGTTTTACCTTCGCTACAGTGTGTCTGAAAGTGTGCGCTTGACAAGGCCACTGAGGACCTGGAACTCCCCCTGCATCGCGCACATCAACGGAGTTCGCACCTGCAGCTTAGCAGAGCTCAGAGGCCGGCTTAGTCCCAACCCCCCAGATGAATCTCAACCATCCTTTCCGCCCACTGGCTGTGGCTGTGCCTGCGGCTGTGGCTCTGGTCGCCCAGGCTTCACTGTGTGCTGCCACGAAGCAATCTTTCCCCAGCCCCCTTCCCCCTTTCCCTCATTTGCCTTCAGAGTCACTTGGCACCTGTCATTACATCCATCCCACACGTTCAAGACCAGGGAGGCACGACTGAGGACACTGCGAGGAAGGCCAAGTAGCCTCTGGGAGTCTGGGGCTGTACCACACGCACAAGACCTTCACTCCCACCTATACCCGGAGAGCTCAGTGGGTGGACAGAACACGCTGAGAACACACGACACCAGAGCCAGCAGATGAGGACAGAGCCATGACCAGGAAGAGTGAAGCTTATGTGTCCTGTGATGGGGGGTTCGGGGGTGGGCAGCTGCTGACCTGTGCTGTAATTAGGACTTCTATTCCTGACCCTCTGCAATGTAAGAGGGTCACCTTTCCCTCTACCGTTCCAGGAAATCCGGTGACTTATTTGCAGTTTTAATGCAGAAAGGACTAACATTCTTGCCATTCCAAGCCGGCTCCACCTGGGTCCAGTGGGGGGCCTTGCTGCCTGGCACAGAGAAACCAGGGCTGGCCGAGGAAGGACAAGTCCAGAATTTCAGTCTTAAGTCTGACGCTTAGTAGCCAAACAGCGCACTATAATTATTTACCCAGTTCCTTCAGCCATGAAATCTACCCATAAAACCGGAATCACACAACCTGAAGAGTTTACTTCCTGGAGGCGTTTGCCGGGCCGCAACTGTGAGAGGCACATACCACTCTCCCAAAGAAAACTGCGACCAGCCTTCCCAAATTTACTTAGCCTAAGGAGCCCCCCTCTTTTTCTTCCCCTCCAACCGTGCAGATCTTCACCATCTCCTAGAACTAGCACTCCCAGGGCGGTTCTGAAGATACAACAAATTGCTTCTCAGGCTGCTTCTGCCTAGTTTTTTTTTTTTTTAAATAATAGATAGAGCCCACATAAGACTTTCTACCTCTCAAGGAAAAAAAGAAGTAATATGGCTGCCATTTTGTCTAACCAGGATTCTGAAGGCCTATGATGTTTTCACATATTTAATAACCCTTTATTCACAATACAATATTGAGATTTTAATTTTTAATTCTATGAAAACATAAGCTCCCTGAGAGCAGGTGTTTTTCTCTACTTCCTTCACTGGCTTATCCCCAGGACCTAGGCTGTGCCTGCCACAGAGCAGGCACCTAAATGCCAGTGGTTGAAAGAGTTATTACAGCACAATACAACAAGAATTATACTCCAATGAGTACCAGAATGATACTTACTCAAACACTTCTAAAGGCACAGTAATGTCGTGAAGCTGCTGCCTGCACTTATCAATATCCTGTAAGCCAGTAACGATAAAATTCCTGAGGGAAAAAGCAAAAATGGGGCATGTGGTTAATTCTAACGACAGAAGGAACATCACCCAGCGGGCCAACGAGCGCTCCACACAAGTTCCTTACACAAGCCAGGTGAGTAGCTCTTTGGTTAGGTACAGAATTCCTAGAGAAGTGTGGGGGTTAGAGAATACCCTCAGATATCAGGTTTTCTTTCTAAAGTAGAAACTGCCATATTGGGGGATAAAAACCAACCCTTCTGAGAATCTGATGAAAGATATCAAACTTCTCTCAAAGACAACTGCCTACTGTGCACCTGGTTTTGTGTGCAGTATCAAGGAACACATGGGGCTCCCACTTAATCCATCCTTCAAACCTCAGGGGAGGAAAGCCATCCCTGCCTGGTTTCATTTCAGCTCCCCTCTGGAGCTTAATGAGATCACCAGACCAGTCCCCTAGCTCTAGGTTGGTAACGCTGGGCTGCAATTATGTTTGATGTCTGTAGCCCCTATAAAGCTAGGAGACCTTCTTCCCCAGAGCATTCATTCTGTGTGTTTGCCTCTGGTCCATCCCAGGCCCTAGCACCAAGGCAGGCACAGGGCTGTGGCCAACAAAGTAACTAAACGTCTGCACCCTTTCTCGCCACCATCCCCCTTTCCAATTCCTGCACACCCAGGGCTGCGCAGCAGGTAGTTCCACAACCTTCGGGCCCAGTTTAGTGAACTCCCCGAGAAGTCTTCCTCCTCTCTGGGGACAGGGACTGAACTCCCCAGAAGGGCCCAGGAGAAAACTGCGCGAGGGAGTCACACGCAGGCGAGGGCGGGCTTTGATTATCAGGCCCAGAAGCTGCACTGTCTGACCAAGACAACGTCTCCAAATGGGCCTTCAAGAAAAGTCCCCCAAAGAAGGAAACAGGGCCCAGGCCCAGAGGAGGGGCGGGCCCAGGCCCAGAGGAGGGGCGGAGACGCGCCGCTCTCGGCCAGGCCCCGGGTCCGCCCCCCACCCCAGCTCCACCGCCCTGTCTCCCCCATCTGGCTCCCGAGCCCACTCCCGGCCCTCCGGCTCCGGCTCCGCCCCGGGCGCCCCACCCCCTCTGGCCCCCCGGCTCCACGGCTCCCCGCCCCCTGGCTCGGTTCCCCTCGGTCCCCACCCCGGGCTCTCCGGCCTGGCTCCCGGCCCCGGCTCGGGCCGACGCCGACGACTCGGGCAGCCACTCACAGCTTCTGGTTGAGCCCGGCCTGGCTGCTGGGCTGGAAGTCACTGACAATGATGCCGAGCTGCCGGATGTTCTCCACGAACTTCTCCAGGTGCTCCTCTAGGTGGTCGAACTTCTCCGCCATGTCTCCGAAGTAACCACCACCCAGCGTGAGCCCGCTCCGCCGCTTCCTGCTTCCGCCTGGGCCCGCCGCCACTTCCGTTTCCTCCGGAGGCAGGAGGCGGGGCCTGGGGCGGGGCGGGGGCGGGGCCTAGGTGCAGGGCGGTTTGGGCCCTTTGGGGCGTGGTCCAGACCTAGGACTGACGTGCTAGGGGCGGGGCTTGATTGCGGGCCGGCTTGGACGTCGGCTTGGACGCCTGCTCGGCCGCTCCAGCATCCCTGAGATGCCCAGGTGAGTGGGATTCTTGAGGCGTTAGTCCTCAGGACTGCCCTGCGTGCTCTGAGGGCCACCAAGAGTCAGCGGTGGGGAGCTGCAAGACCTCGTTCTGCCTCCACTGGCCCTGGGCAAGTCCCCTCGGCTCTGAGCCTTCGTTCTTATCCATAAAATCGAAATGAGTATGGACAGCTACTGGGGCTTAGACGGGTTAAGACTGAAGCACAACAGCAGGGCTTATGCCCACGAGGGAAATGGCTTCTTTTTTCCCGAATACACAAATTACAGGTATTCACTGTAAATAATGAAAGCAACGCAGGAAGGAATATAACGAGGAACGGGGAAGAGACCCTGAAATCCTGCCCCGACACAAGCCGTCTTTGAGATCTTGAAGACCATCCGTTCCTGCATTTCTTGATGCGCAGGGTCCGGCAGGTTCCCTACCTACTCTCCTGGAGGCTGGCCTCCCTCACCCAGGGCCAGGCCCAGGCCCTCTTGGAACTACCCAGCCTTCACCCTGGCCCTGAAATGCATCTCAAGCTGGGCTTTAGACCTGTGACTTTCCCGGTAGCGGTCTGTCTGCTCTCCCCAAATGAGTATGTTAGCCGCCAGGACAGCTCAGAGAGATGATAAAGCCTCGTGTCAGGATGGAGGCCTTCTAGCACTGACTGCTGCCCGTCCCACCAGGCGTCTCGGTCACCAACATGCACATAGAACGCAGCATCTTCCCAAACACCCGCAGAAATGGAAATCCTAAAGTTTGCATGAACAGCCCAACAAAGACACTTACCCTGCCCCCGAGTTGGAGCCCTAGAGGTCAGCGGTGGTCCCCATTCCTTCCTCTGGTATGTAGTTAGCACCCACCTCCTCTAACTCTTCTAACCACCTTCCACTCAGCTCTCCCTTCCCCAGTGCCTGCCGCCTACTGAAGTCAGGCGTTCTCCCACTCCAGCCAGCTCTAACAAAACAGCACCCTGTGGGGCTTCCTATCGGTAAAGAATAACCCTCCTACTGCACAGAGCCTGTAGTAAACCGCTGTTCCTTGGTCTCACTAGAATTCTATCTTGCTCACATCACTCATGTTCTTAAGGAATTTCTCTGTCCGTTCTAAGACTAACTAATGTTTGCTCCTACAATAACCTTTCTAGACTCCTCTGGCCACAGTGACTTCTTCTTTTACTGGATATCATAATACACATCATCCTCATGTCTTAGGCAAAATGAGGGGGCTCTTTTTCTAGATGATATCTCCCAGATGTGACCAAAAATGAGAACCCAATGAAGGTAATTGATTTGTCAGACTTACTGAAGTCAGGGACTCCAATCAGTGTGGTGTACTAAACTCATATGGGAAGCCTCTGTTCTGCTCCGAATACACAGAAATGTTAGGTGAAATACCTCCCTCCCTATTTGACAACAGCTAACTTCAGGGGAATTGTAAAACAAGGCAGAAATAAAATACTTGCCAAAGAAGAAAAAGATGACTGGAGAGATATCAGGAGAGGAAGTGACCAGTCCTCCATTTCATGAGAAAGAGATAGATACTGATGGAACATAGGCTTTGTTCACTCTTTATTTTAAAAATTTAAGGTTATGTCTTTAATAGAATATATAATGTCTGAACATTATCTATTGGGAATAAGGAAAACATAATCAATTCAATAGAAGGTAAGAAACAGAATGCATGAAGCAAAGAACAAACATGGAAAATAAACAAGCACAAAATAAGATGAAAGCATTAAGGACAGATATGTTGGTGATCACAATAACAGATTTAAACACCCATAAACAGATTTAACTACTTACTTTTAAAAAGACTCTCAGATTGGAAGTATTATATGTTGCTGATGTTATGGTTGTTATTTTAGTCTAGCTATGTGGTTTTCCAAAGGCATACCTAAACAAGCACACAGAAAGGTTGCAGGGGTAGGGTACACTAAGATACGCTAGGCAGCTAGGATAAAGTTGTTAAAACGTATAAGATAAAAAAATTAGTAAAATGTAGAAAGACCTTTTTAGCAATAAAGGGAAGAAGCCACCAAGATGACCTATTAATATTAACCTATAAGCAACTAACACAGTCTTATTATACCTAGCACGAAAACTGACATATAATAAGGAAACATTCAAAACCCATAGTGAGAACAGAAGATTTGGAATACCTCTCTCAGAAAATGATAACTCAAGTGGGCCCCTATATGTATATAAGGAGGATTTGGATAAGATGACAAATAAATATGATCTGTGAGAAACAGTGAACCCTGAAAACAGATGGATTCCAAGTGTGTATGTATATTTATAAAAACGTGACCATTCAGTAGATCACAAAGCAATTTTCAGCAAATTCCCAGTTTTATCACAAAGGCCAGATTTTCTGACTTCAATATAATTATAATAAAAATCAATGAAGTTATCTTCTCTTTACACACACACACACACACACATGAAAACCAAAACACACTCTCTGAAGTAATCTCTGGGTGTACATACATCTGAATTTGCGAGACCCACTAGCTCGCTGTCATCCTGCAGTAATTACTAATGATACCTCTTTCACGCGCCACCAAAGGCATTTCCACGTGGTTGATAACTGACAGGGTCATCCTAGTTAAAGAGGAAAGTGTGAAATATTTGAAACTGAATGACAAGCCCTTCTTATCAAACTTCTGCTTTGCTCCTAAAGCTATACTTTGAGGGGAAATTGCCCAGAATTAATAAGCTGGGGGTTCAACTCAAGAAGTAACAAAAAAAATTTTTTTAAAGCAAGAGAGAAATCACAAGCCCAGAAATTATATAGAAAGGAGTGATAAAGACAGATCATGATGAAAATGAAAACTATTTTATTAGTTCTCTTTCTACTTTCACCAAAAGCTAAAAGATCAGCAGTAAAGAAAAGCTGACGTGTGAAAAGATGAATCAAAATCAAACAAGCACATTTCCAACAAGTCCATCAGGGAGGCAGAGAGAGAGAGAACACCAACAATATTATACATGAAGGAGGGGACATAATTCACTTACACTGAAACTTATATGTCCCTGTTTTGAAAGCTTGGAGCATGTGGACAATTATAGGAAACCTAAAAAAAATTAATTTAAGAATTAATAGGAAATGAGGGACGCCTGAGTGGCTCAGTGGGTTAAAGCCTCTGCCTTCAGCTCAGGTCATGATCCCAGGGAACTGGGATTGAGCCCCACATCGGGCTCTCTGCTCAGCAGGGAGCCTGCTTCCCCCTCTCTGCCTACTTGTGATCTCTGTCTGTCAAATAAATAAACAAAATCTTAAAAAGAAAAAAGAATTAATAAGAAATCAAAAATCAGGACAGATCCTAGCCTTTCAATAAACTGGACAGTAGAAAAAAAATCTCTTTCAAAGAAATGACAGGTATCAAACCCTAACAGCTTTTTACAATAGGTTCGTCTCTTTAATCAAACACTAAGGAAAAATAATTTTCAACTTACCTGAATGCTTTCAAAGACTAGAAAAAGAAGAAATACATTGCCAGATCATTTTTAAAGGGTTGTGTAACTTTGATATGAAAAGCAGGCAAGTACAGTGGAAAGAAATAAAGGAGGGAAGAAAGAAAGGAAAGAAGGAAGGAAGGAAGGAAGGGATGGAGGAAGGGAGGGAGGGAGGGAGAAGGGGAGAGAGGGAGGGAGGAAGCAAGAAAGGAGGGAATATAGACCAATCTTTCTTCTGAGTAGATGCAAAAATCCTAACAAAGCATCAGCAAATTAGTTACATTGTATCAGGTATCACTTATTGCTGCATAACAAACCTCCCTAAAACTCGGTTTAAAACTCTACCATCCTCTCTTTGGCTTTCAGATCTGTGGTGTGGCTTCTGTACGGCATTTACAGCTCCATTGACAGGGCTGAATTACCTGGGACAGAGGGCTCTGCTCTCAAGAAGCTCGCTGACATGGCCACCACGTTGGTAGTGGCTGGAACTGGGTGCTTACCTCCACATCTCTCTGTGAGCTTTGGGGCTTTCTCACTTCACAGTGGTGCATTCCAGGAGCACAGAGTTCTGGATAAGCGAGCAGAAGCTATATTACCTTTTATGTCTGAACCTCAGAAGTCCTGCTGTGTCACTTCTGCCATAGCCATGGCACGTGTCAATGCCCAAGGAGGGAACATGAAACTGGTCATCAGTGGAAGAGGTAAGAAATCGTATTGTGGTGAGAGCAGGGGATGTAGGAGATCTTGTTGAAACCATTCTTGGATAATACAACCCGTTACACATCATACTGAAAACAATAACGATCTATTGAGTCTTTCCTGGGACTGCATGAAAGGTTCACTATCATAAAATCTATTATATAATTAAGTCCATTAAAGACCAAGGAGAAAAACATCTCAGGTAGATTTTAAAAATAGACGTTTGACAAAATTCCACCAAATTCATGATTTAAAAAACAACAACAAGAAAACAAATAAAAACCTTTGGGCAAAATGAGAATGAAAGAAGCTTTCTACAGTTATTTAAGAACAGCCACTAAACACTTCCACTGGACGTAAGGAGGAAAACCCAGAAGCATTTTCATCAGAGTCGTGGACAAGCCAGAACACCCACAGTCACCCCAATTACTAAGCACTGCACAGGAGTTTGGCCTCCCCTATCATCAGCCTGTGTGTGTGTGTGTGTGTGTGTGTGTGTGTGTGTGTGTGTGTGTTCTGACATAGAAGGCTTCACGAATTTGCTCATCCTCGCAAAGGGGCCATACACATCGTCTCTGTCTGAACTTCTGACATTGAACTTCTATGTGCTCCTTAACTTGCCCTTAAAATTCCTGGGTATTTTG